AGAGGGCTCTTTCATCTATCGTGATGAGCCTGTTTTCCACCACCACCACCATAAGTTAGAAGGGAAAAGGAGGAGGACGAGGAGGAGGACGAAGAGGAGGAGGAGGAGGAGGAGGAGGAGGAGGAGGAGGAGGAGGAGGAGGACCCCCCTCCAACTTATGGTGGTGGTGGTGGAAAACACGCCCATCATATCGGCAGTACACCTATTCGGTGTCCCCCCCCCCCCTCTTTCTGCAGACAGCTCCCTGCCGCATAAGTTACCGCCGCCCCCCGTGTGGGGACGGAGCAGGAACGGCACCAGCCTCCCCCCGCGGGCCTGGCTTTCAGGTCGGCCTCATCCCATGCACCCTCCGCTCCGGCGTCTCCGCTGCTGCCGCGCAGCCGTGGCGCCGTGCTCTGCCTTCCCCCCTCCCCGCGCCCCGAAGGAGCCCCACGCCGCTCCCCCATGATGGCGCGGCTCCTCATCTTTGTCCCCTTCGCTTGCGCGCCGGCCACTCTTGCCGCGCTCGTCGCAGCGCACTCGTGGGGGCCAGCGCCCCGCCCTTCGCCCTCTCCCATCGCGCCCCGCAGGTCACCAGATCTCGGCAGTTCGCCCAGCCGCTGCGTTCGCCAGCGCCGCCGGCTGCCCCACTGGTGCGGCACCGACATGCGCCGGGCACTTCTCTCTGCAGCCGCTGGCGGCTTCGTCCAACGTCGGCCCCTTCTGCTCTGCTTCTGGGCCGATCTTGAGCGGCTGGCCCGGACGCTCCACGCACTTCCACCCGTGGCACCTGCTCCCCCACACGGCTCTGCCCGGCCACCGTCGGGCCGCCTTCCCCCCCCCCAGCTGCTGCCTGGCGCCGCGGCTGGCTCGTTACCCCCCCTGGCGTCCGCTCCGCCGGAGCAGGGGCCTGCCTGAGTCGGGGGAGCGTAAGACCCGGGTTTGCCGGGACTCGGGTTCGCCATCGTTTTTTGACGACCGCGACTCGGATTTTGACGAGGAGGAGTTTTGTGGGATGTCTGCAGCGGGAGGCATCGTCAAAATGCAGGCTCGGCCTCGTCATTTTTTTGACGACCTCGTCGGGGATTTCTGAGTCCCCCGTACCCGGGTCTTACGTCTCCCCGACTGAGGTGGGCCCAGCTTCCTCTCTTCCCGTTGCGTTGGGGGCCTCCCCCTCTCACCCCCGCGCGCTGCGGCCCAGTTTGCATCCAGGGCGCCCCGCTGGTGCCCGATCGCCGGAGCAGCAGCCTCTGCCCAGCCGCCGACGCAAAGTGTGTGTGTGTGTGTGTCTCTGTGTGTGTGTGTGTGTGTCTGTGTGTGTGTGTCTGTGTGTGTGTGTGTGTTTGTGTGTGTGTGTGTCTGTGTGTGTGTGTGTGTTTGTGTTTGTGTGTGTGTGTGTGTGTGTCTGTGTGTGTGTGTGTGTGTGTGTGTGTCTGTGTGTGTGTGGGCTGGTGGTCGAGCCGCCGACCTTCGCAATCGGAGCGGGAAACGGCGGTTGAGGAGGAGGAGGAGGAGGAGGAGGAGGAGCAGGAGGGGGAGTAGGAAAAAAGAGGAAAAGGAGGTGGAGGAGAAGGAGGAGGAGGAGGAAAATAGGGATGATGGGGGAGGAGGAGGAGGAGGAGGAGGACAATTGGAAACCCAAGATTCATCAACGATCTTGAAATACACAGTTTTTCAAGTTCCCTTTTTTCACAGGTCCCAACAAGGATTCATTGCCTCTGAGGGAAGTGCCTCGTTGGGGGAGATCGGTGTGAAAATCTCGCAGCGTACCAAAGCACCATCTTCAGGACTTTCACGCCACGGGTCAACTTGACTGTTGCGTCTTGGCGGCCAACCGGTGCATGATCAGGGCAGGCGCATTCCAGGGACCTTACCGCGGATCCACGTAATTGTAGCGCCCCGACATTCCGGTACAATATTTGGTGCGGAAGCCACGGGCATCAGCGAAGCTCTGGCAAGTGTTTAACACGAGTGTGCGCGGCGGCAAAGCGAGAACCACATGTTGAAAACGAGCAGCCCTCCATCCGTGAAGCCTTTGCACGTTTTCCAAAAGCGAGTGCGCGCGGCGCTAAGGCAATAATCGCATGTTCAAAACGAACCACCGTCAATCCGTGAAGCTCTTGCAAGTGTTCAAAAGCGAGTGGACGAGGCGCTAAGGCGAGCGCTAAATTTTGGGAGCGAGCCGCTCCCAAGCCGTGAGGCTTTCGCACCTGTTTTAACGAATGTTCGCGTCGTTGAGGCGAGAACCACAGTTCGAAAACGAACCGACTTCATCCGTGATTTTTTTGCATGTGTTGTTCAGAGACGCGCAGCCAAAAAGGTGGGGGGCCGAAGGCGGCGCCCGCGCGCGCCGTGCTCGCCGGTCTGGCAGCCGCCACGCGACGCCGAGCGGCGTGGCCTCAGAGCTTCCTCTCGCCGGGGGGAGGAGGCGCGGGCGAGGGGAGGAGCAGGCGGAGGAGAGGACGAGGGGAGGAGCAGGCGAGGGAGAAGGCGAGGGAGAGGACCAGGAGAGCAGGGGGAGCAGGACGAAGGAGAGACGGCGTGTTGTGACGAGTCGCCTCGGCGGAGATCTGGCTCAGCGCCGTGCGCTCTCCTCGTGACCCCGCCCCCCGCGCCGCGGTCAGCACCTCGGGCCCGCAGGGAGGCGCGCGGGCGCGCGCGGGAGCCCCGCCCTGCGCGCGCGCGCCCATGTCCTCCGCGGACGGCCAGGGCCTGGAGCTCTCCGCCGACCTCAGGTGCCCGGCCTTCGAGCGAGCGAGGGTCGTCGAGCGACTGCGGCGGGGGAGCTCTGGCTCCCCCCTCGCCGAGCGCGCCCCACGACCTCGCCGGGTGCCCACTCGCAAGATTCCACAGCACCTGCCTGCTTCGACGACACGAATGGCTCGCACCCCCCCCCCCCCACCGGCGGACCCTGGCCGCTTGTGAGTCGTTCCTGTTTGCGATTCGTGGAGCGCGCTTGTCTGTGGCCTGTCCCTCCGCCGGTGCCGGCCCACCACGCCTCGGCGCGACACGCTGTCCACCGCCCGGTGGAGGGTTTCTCCAGGGCTTTGGCGACCCGTCCTCCTCCTCCTCCTACTCCGCCTCCTCCTCGTCTTCCTCCTCCTCCTCCTCCATCTCCTCCTCTCCCTCCCCCTCCTCCTCCTCCTCCTCCTCCTCCTCCTCCTCCTCCACCTCGGGTCGCCTACGGCCCCGGGGGAAACCGCGCACCGCCCGGTCCACAAGCTTCCACATCCCGAGCGTTTCCTGGCCTCCCGCCCTGCGGAGCGGAGCGACAGGCTATCCGCTTACAGGGGACAGCGTGTCGCTGGGGCCGCCGCGGCGACACGCCAGGCAAAAGTTCCCGACCGTAGAACCCAACTTAGGATCCGTAGTGATTCAGGCGGTGTCGCAAGCAGGGCGGAGGTTTCCGCCCTGCCTCTCCAGCTCTCTTGATGTGTCGGTCATCATCATCATCATCATCATCACCATCATCATCATCATCATCATCATCATCATCATCATCATCATCATCATCATCATCGTCATCGCCACCATCACAATCACCATCAGCCCCATTATCATTACCGTCGCCATCACGACCATTATCACCATCCTCGCCACCATGTTCATCATCATCATAATCGTAACCGTCAGCGTCATCACCATCATCATCACCATCAGCATCATCACCGTAATCATCGTCATCATCATCATCATCGTCATCATCATCACCACCACCATCAGATTCATCATCATCACCGTCATCATCCTATCAGCATAATCATCATCAACGCCAACATCATCAGCAGCACCATTCCTCACCTTCCTCATCATCAGCATCATCATAACCAACATGTCATCATCAGTAGCTGCATCGTCATAAGTACGATCGTCATCATACGCATCATCATCATCAATTTCATTATCGATGTCTCATCATCCCTAGCTTCATCAATACTTGTGTTATTGTCATCATGCCCATCAGCAGCATCATCATCATCCTTAGCAGCATCAGCATCATCATCGCCAGCATCATCTACATCATCACCATCATCGTCATCGTCATTGTCATCATCATCCGCAGCAGCATCAGCAGCATTATCAACATCCTTATCACCAGCATCGCAATCACCATCAGCATCATCCTCATGAACTTCATCATCATCATCATCGTCATCGCCACCATCACAATCACCATCAGCCCCATTACCACCATTATCACCATCCTCGCCACCATGTTCATCATCATCATCATCATCATCATCATCATCATCATCATCATCATCTTCATCATCATCATCATCATTATCATCATCATCATAATCGTAATCGTCAGCGTCATCATCATCACCATCATCACAATCATCATCATTACCGTAAGCATCGTCATCATCATCATCATCATCATCATCATCATCATCATCATCATCATCATCATCATCATCATCATCATCATCACTGTCATCATCATCACCACCACCATGATCATTGCAATTATCACCATCTATTCGATTTCTGGCAGGGGGTGAAACGTTGCTCGATCTTGCTTGTAATGCCGCGGTCGGCATTTTTTCGGGGGTGGCGCGCCGATTAGTTCGCCCATACCTCGGGCCCCATGTGATCTCCAAGTCATCGGGCTATCCGCTCTCGTGGCTCCGAGCGCCGTCGGCGTCGAACGTGTACAGCTGGCACGAGGGCGAAGAGTAGATTTGGCCTTTGGCGCGATGCGGGTGGGGCCGGTAGCCTGTTGGCTGTGAAGAACACTCTGGGCTCGAGCGGCCGCACCAGCTCGGGCACGTCGCGTTCGCGGCGCTGCAGGCCTCGAGCGATACCTCAGGCACTATCTTGTCCTGTCCCTGAGATCTCATGTTGCGAGCAGACATGCATCGTCGTGAACAAGCATAGCCTGAGCCCTGGACCCTCAGGGTCTCAGGGTCTCAGGGGAGAAGGAGGAGGAAGAGGAGGAGGAGGAAGAGGAGGAGGAGGAGGAGGAGGAGGAGGAGGAGCCCGATCGATCTGCGATGGTCCCTGGGTCCGAAGCCGGGCGCAGCCGCCCGGCTCGAAGAGGTTGCAGCGCCAGGGGCTCAGGGGGCAGAGCAGCCTGGCCATGGGCGGGGCTGCCGCCCAGCGCAGCGCCCACCCCGCAGGCAAGCGCCTCCGGCCAGAGGGGCAGCCGCCCGGCGGCGGCGGGGAGCTGCGCCGCTGCGCCCGCCTGCGCCGGCACGCCGAGGGCTTCGCACGGCTCGCGCCGCCGAAGCGGCGCGCGCTGCTGCGGCGCTACCGCGCCGCTGCGGCGGCCTGGCCGCAGCGGGCCCTGCAGCGCCACGCCGTGCACGTGGCGGCGTGGGCCTTCGAGGAGGCCTCTGCCGCCGCGCCGGGCGCCGTGGAGGGCGCCGCGGGCGAGCGGGGCGGCGCCCGCGGGCCCGCGGAGCCGAGCCCGGCGCTGCTGCTGGCCAGGCTGCTGGGCATGTGCAGGGGTCGGCTGTCGCCCTGGCTGCGCGCCACGCTGCAGGCGGTGATGGAGCAGCCCGGCCCCGGCAGAGCAGGCCGCCCCCGAGGCTCGAGGAGGAGGGAGGCTGCAGAGACGTGCGCTTTCGGAGGTCCGCGCGGACCTCTAGGACCTTAGGACCTGCGCTGTGACCCCCCCCCCCCCCCCGGCGGCGCCTCCGGCGCCGCCCCTGGCGCGCTCCGCGCGCCAGGGAGAGGGGGTTGCCGAGCGCATAGGTCCGAGAACGCCGCGCGTGCCTTCGGCAGCCTGCGCCTGCACTGCCTCGCTCCTCCTCTGGGGACTGGGCCGAGCTGCGCGAGGCCGCAGCCAGGCTGCAGCGGAGAGCCGGGCGGGGGCGCGGCGACGGCCCTGCCGAGTGCGCCCTGGGGCCTGGCGCCGCCGCGCCCGCGGCGAGCGCGCGTGCCACAGGCCCGCGAAGCACAGAGGCGGGCCTGGAGCAGCGGCGCCTCCGCCGGCTCGCGAGGGAGGACGCCCGCTGGCGCGCCATGTCAGGATGCAGCTCCTGTCGGCTCGAACGGAATGGGTACAGAAAGAAGGGGGGTCCCAGACATGATCGCGTCGTGAAAAAATCAGGACGGGAGATCTTTTGCTATTTTCGGCCCCGGGGGGCCCTCGCCGGGCATCGGGACCGTCAAAAAACGATTCAGGACGAAAAACCGGTCCCGGGGAAAGGGACGGGACTTTCATGGAGGCCGCCCTGAAAAATCAGGACTTCGCATGTCTGGGGTAGAAGAGTAAAAGATGCCCCGCAGCAGTTCCTGTTCATTTTTGGCAAGGACGCGCTGTCCGCGCCGCCGCGGACGTTGTTCTTCGAAGACAGAAAGCCGCCTGCCCAACAGCGGCCCCTGTCGGTTTAGGACAACACTTGCTGTTCGGCATTGCACACATTTTTCTGTATCCATTTCGGGCGTCCGAATTTGGGGAGCTGGGGCCGGCTGGGGCTCTGAGTTGGTACAGCACAGGTTCTGGCCAGCAGGGAGGCAGAAGTCGAGGCGCTGCGTTCGAGGAGGCGTTTCGCCTTTGGCGGGCCCCGGGGCCGTGGAAAAGTAGGATTTGGGGTGAACGAGATGCAGCAGATGGACTGCGGGAGGGGTCCGGAAACCGATTTTGAGCGGATTTGCCCGCGTCCCCTTCTGGATCGATGCTCAGGGGCCCCACCCAGTTCAGAGCCCCGGGCCGCCTCCAACCTCGACCAAACATCAGCATCGGCGCTGGTGCTTCGAGGCCGTCCTGCTCCGGCCCGATCCCGCTTCGTCTGGCGTCTTCCCGTCCGGCTTGGCTCAACCCTGGGGTCAGCCTGGCCTGGCTCGAGGACCGCACTGCCGGGCTCAGCAGCCCGTGGCCTATGCCCCCACGAAGGCCCCCCGTGGAGCTGCATGCTGACGCCGTGGGCTGGCCAGAGCAGCTGCGGAGGTCGCAGGGCCTGCGGCTCCGCTTCGAGGAGGCGGCGCGGGCGCTCGACGCGGCCTCCCTGCGCGCGGTGCTGCGCGAGGCTTGCGCGGGGCTGTCGCCGCCGCTCTCTCGGGCCTCGGAGCACGGCGCGGGCGGCACGCTGGACGCGGGCTCGCGGGAGCGGCTCCGGGCTCTGGCAGAGGCTCGGGGGAGAAGCGCCGGCATCAGGCGCCAGCCTTCCGAGGTCCCCGCGCGGGAATCCTGGGGCCGGCGCTGGGGCCCGCCCGGCGGCGCCGCCCCTGGCGCGCTCCGCGCCCACCGGGGTCGATGATCCTCATAACTACGTAGGACGTGCGTTGGCCCAATGTGCAAGGGCGCCCTCGAGGGCGCGAAGTTATTCGCGCTTCGCGGTTCGCGGCTCGGCTCCGATCCTTCCTCATCTTTCTCTTCTCCTTTGGGAGGCGGCGCGAGGGCGCGAAGTTATTCGCACTTCGCGCTTCGCGCAGCGCGAAGCGCGAAGTTGGGAGCCCTTGAATGTGCGACTACCCCGCTTAGCCCAACCAGTCGATCATCACATCGCCTTCGTCGTATTGGAGGGCCTCAGTACGCAGCACACGTTGGGTCTAGCGCGTGTTCTGAGGAGCATCGACGGGGGTGGCGTGGGGGGGCAGCGCCGCTCCCAGCATAATTACTCCGCGCGGACCTCCGAACGCAACGCTTTTTTACGGTTAAGTCGGGCACGTCCCTCGACATGCAGGGGGGATATTCAAAGAATAGCCAGGGGATAATATGGGGACGACTTTTGGAGCATTTGTTGACTATTCTTTCAGCATGTTATGAATCTGTTTTGAATATTTTGGAATATGGTTTGAACATTTGTTTGTATTTCCGATGTTTCTGACAAAATCCGCATGTATGGGGGGCAAGCCCGACCTGATGTTACGGTTAAGGCGCGCGTCGTGTCCACGTGGCGGCGACGTCGCGGGCGGACGCTTTGCCGCGGAACGCCGCCATGCGGCCCTAAAACTCGGCGAATGTGGAACGACCTGGCGATCAAAACCCAGACTTAGGTCGGGCATGTCCCCGTACAGGCGGCTTTTGGACGACAAATAAGAAATATTCAAAAATAATCAAACCATGTGTTTGTAAAAGTCCCCTGAGTATTTGTTACTGCTTTTGTATACTCCTGTAGGGGGACAGGCCCGATTTTAACCCGGACATGATCGCGCCCAACACAAACATCAGGACGGGAGGTTTCGGCTATTTTCGGCCCCGGGGGGCCTTCGCCGCGCCTCGGGACCGTCAACAAAAACGGCTCGGGACGACACAGACCAGTCCCCGGGGAGAGGGGCGGGACTTCCAGGGGCGCCGTCCTGAAGAAATCAGGGCTTCGCATGTCTGGGAAGGCCGCCACGCGTTCAAGCTGGAACGACCCACGTGGTGTCAGAAGCCAGCGCCGGGGTCGGCACGCACGACACGAACGTCCCGCATGCTGTCTTCCCCACGCCAGAGGTGCAGAGGTGCCTCAGGGCCTTGCTGGCGCGGGCCATCGCGGTCTGGCGGGACAACTGGGCGGACGACCAGATCCAGCCTGTGCTCTCCCGCCTGCAGTGCCTGATCCACGGCTTCGAGTCCACCGGAGCCCGCATCGAGGACGCCCGCGCTGGCAAGCAGTGGGCACGGCTGCGGTGCGCGCAGTCCGTCGGGGAGGAAGCCCGTGGTCAGGGGTCGGAGGCTCCCGGGGCCGCCGCCACGGGTGCGCTGCGCGCAGGCGGCCAGGGAGGCAGAGGCGCGGCCCGCGAGATCCAGCCCCAGCCCGCCCCGTGCGCTGGCAGCAGCCCCCGCCTGGCGAACAGAACCAGGAAGTGGTCGCAGGGCGACTGGGAGGAGGTGCTGGCCGCGGTGTGCGAGCGCCTCGGCGTGGCGAGCGGCGCGGCTCCGCCGCTGGCCACGCAGGTCCGGATGGCGGACTGGAAGGCGATCGCGAAGCAGTTGGGCAGCGGCCGCAGCGCCGACTGCATCAAAACGTACTATCTGGAGGGCTGCGCCCCCATGCCGCTGGCCCCTGGACGGAACCATCTCGGTTCTTTGGTGGGGCCACTCGGCGGCCCTGCTGTGGCCTTGTTGGGCCGTCTTGAGGCTCTTAGGGCCACCTCGATGCCAACTCGAATAACTTTGTGTGCCACCTGGGTGTATGTTGGGGCCGAGTTTGGCAATATCGGGGGCACTTTAGGGACCCATAATTAGGGCTATACGGTCACCGTGGGATTATCTCGGGCAAGCTTGTTTGTTTGTTTGCTCTCTTGGAGCGTTTGGGGGTTAGTCTTGAAGCAATATCTGGACACCTCTGGAGCAGAACACGCGACAGGCAACACAGCAACTAAGCAGCTTGAGTAAAAGTACGCTCTTTTATTTATGTTTTTTCGCCAATGTGGGAGCCTCGTGGGGCCCTCTTGGTGTCCCCTGGAGGCCCAAGTAGGCCCGTCTTGGAGGAATGTTGGGGCCGTAATTCTTAGTCCGTCTTGGTTTTTCGGAGCCCTGTGAGAGTCCCTTAAGCCCTGGAGCACAAGAGGGGGAAGCCACAAGAGAGACCGGCAAGACAGCACACTGGCAACCATGACTCGCAGCCTGGCGCCCGCTGAGGGGGCTGGTTGACTTCGCAAAGGTGGACCCCGCATACGTGAGGCCCGAGCGGCCAGCTGGTGTGAAAAGGCACACGCGAGGCCTCCTCAGGGAGATGGCGCACGCGGCAATGAGGCGGCTGGGTGGCCGGGCCACCTGCCCCGAGGTGCTCGAGTGCTGCCGGATGGACCCTTTTGTCAGGCAGCAGTTCTGGGAGCACCTCAACCACCATGCCACGAAGGTGCACAGCACCACGAAGGAGCTTGAGTCTTGGGAGGCCACGATGACCACGAACGTCCGCCAATACTTCAGAGCGACTGGACTGAGGAAGGGGAGACACGCGCTATGGGATCTACCCTCCAGCGTACCTTAACCAAGCGCATTCTTGGAGACACTCGTAGTTGCACATCCTCGGTTCAAAGGTGCTTTTTGAGGAGGTTCGTGTGTTTGCGTGTTCTCTTGTTCGTGGCCCGTAGCTGTGTTCTGGGTGACATCGCCGCGTTGGAGCTAGCTTGTCATCGTGCTGCTGAGTCCGCTCCCATTCCTCCCCTCCAGCTGGACAAAACATGTGTGTGTGTGTTCTCTAGACAGTTCTTCCTCATTTGTCCATATTCCTTCTTCTCCCTCGTTTTTCTTCGTTTCTCTCTTCCCTTGCCCATTTTTTGTTTTGTCGGGTTGCCCTGATTTTGGGCCGCGTGCCCTCGCCACTTTCCTCCTCTCTCAACCATTCCTCTTCCTCTTTCTCAAGGGCGCCCTCGAGGGCGCGAAGTTATTCGCGCTTCTCGCTTCGCGTTTCGGCTCCGATTCCTCCTCCTCCTCCTCTTCTCCCCTTGTAGGCGGCGCGAGAGCGCGAAGTTATTCGCACTTCGCTCTTCGCGCAGCGCGAAGCGCGAAGTTGGGAGCCCTTGTTTCTGCGCCTCCTCGTCTTCCTGCTCTCTTCACCTGCACGCCTTCTCCTCCCCGCTCCCCGCTTGCCCTATCTCCTCGCCGTCCTCCTCCTTTCCCCTCCTCTTCCTCCTCATTTCCTCTCCTCTTCCTCCTCCTTTCCCTTCCTCTTCCTTGTACTTGTACTCCTCATCCTCCCTCCTCCTCCTCCTCCCTCCTCCTTGTTCTTGTCGTCCCCCCCTCCCCTCCTCTTCCTCCTTTCCCTCTCCTTCAACCCTTCGTCCTTCCCTTCTCTTCCTTCCCTTCTCCTCGTCCTCCTCCTCCCCGTCGCGGCTGCCAAGCAAGCAGCGGCTGCACGAGCGAGGCGTCTGATCGACTCCGCGTATGCCCCCGTCATCGGCATCGACAGGAAGGGTGCCGTGGTGGAGTGGAACCAGGGCGCCGCGGACGTCACCGGATGGGAGCAGGAAGAGGCGTCCCGCCTCTCGACGATAACGACGACGGCGACGGCGACGGCGACGACGACGACGACGACGAGTGTGGCACGACGTCAGTGACAGCACGGCGTCAGTGGGGCGGCTGAGGTGGAGGGCAGCCGAGGAGGAGGAGGAGGAGGAGGAGGAGGAGGAGGAGGAGGAGCCGGGTTGGGGCGGGGAGGAGGGAGGAGCAAAGAGGCGCAAGGAGGAGTGCGGAGGAGCGTGGAGAGGGAGGAGGGCAAGGAGCAGAAGGGCAAGCTAGGCAGGAGCACAAGCGTCTGGCCTGACGTCCTGTCCTACCCCTCCCTCCCATCCTTTTCCATTGCGTAGATCTTCTTTCTATTCGCACAGCCGGGCAATGACCCCGAGAGAGTACGCGATGCATGGTATAGCACGGCATAGCATGGTATCGCGTCGAGAACACGACTCATGTCGACAACAAGGCCAGAGGGAAACCGGACACACACACAGGACGGGAAATGCACATGGACGGCGCGGAAAGCGGGAAGCGTGAAATAAGGTCACCAAAACCGCGGACATGAGACCAGCGTGCAATGGGAGCACGGCTTGGAATGACCCGAAGCGCGGAAGCGAAGCCAAGCTGCAGCAGGAGCACGATTTGGACAAACCGAAACAGTGGAGTGAGGTCAGCGCTACAACGGGAACGTGATTTTGAAGGACTGGGAGTGGTAGCATGTGAGTGTGAACGAGAACTGGTGCATCTGTGATCCGCCTAGCCGCAGCGTAGCCGCAGCGACTGGCTAGTCGCCGGCCTCGAGGGGCCAACGCGCTCAGGATCTAGCCTCCTCCACCGCCCTCCTGCGCTCCCGATCCCATTCAACCGCCGAGTGGGCGGACGGACATTCGCGTAGGCGTGTAGCTCGACCAGGGCCTAGTACCCAGACCCCCTTGGGCAATTGACAAAAATCATGACGGGAGGTTCTTCCGTATCTTTCGGCCTCTGGGGGCCCTTTTGACGGGCCTCGGGACCGTCAGCAAAACGACTCAGGATGAGAAGCGGGTCCAGGGGAATGGGCCCAGACCTGCAGGGGTCGACGCAACGAGAGCCTCCTGGCGTCGGGGGTCTGGGCGTGGGGGCGGCAGCCCTGCACGGGTGCACGCTGGCGGGCCATGCAGATGGGCCATCGCCCGCGGGCCCCGCCCCGGGCCGGACAGCGGGCCCCCACCCGGCCCAGGCCCCACCAGAGCGGGAGCCCACCAGCTTCTCGTGCAGCCAGGAGGCCTCTCCACCCTCGAGGCCTCTAATGATGGGCCTGCTTTCCACCACCACCACCACAAGTTGGAGGGGGGAAGGAGGAGGACGAGGAGGAGGAGGAGGAGCAGGAGGAGGAGGAGGAGGAGGAGGAGGAGGAGGAGGAGGAGGAGGAGGAGGAGGACCCCCTCCTCCTCCAACTTATGGTAGTGGCGGTGGAAGACAGGCCCGTCATCTAAGCCCAGACAGCACCGTACGGGTCCAGCGCCGCGGGTTGGAGGCACCTACGGGGCCTCGACCGCGGGGTCTGGAGCCCAGGGTGGCCCGAGCTCCTGCAGGCTCCGGCGAGGCCCTTCCCTGGGGAGACCCATTGGCGGGTGCTCGTCAGAGACTGCGTCAGCATCACATTTGACCGCCGGGTGCCCTTGAGACGGGGATCCCCGACGGTTCCCTCGGAGTTCCTCCGGATTACCTTGGGCTGCTCTGGGCCTCGTCATGTTTCCTGAAAGATCCCTGAGAATTCCCCAGGGGGTCCTGAAGGTATCCTACGGTCTTCCTGTGAATTCACTACGGGCTCCTGAGGGTTCCGCAAGGATCCCTGAGGACTCCTTGCTGAGCTTCCCTCAGGGTCCCCGAGGGGTTCATGTGGATTCCCGCTGTGTTCTGAAGGTTCCCTAGGGGTTCCGAGGATTCCCGAGGGTTCCATTCGGGTTTGTGAGGATTCTTCAAGATTCCCCAAGGATTCATCAGGATCCCTTCGGGATTCCGGAGGATTACTCGCAGATGCCTCAGGACCCTTCGTGGTTTCTGACGATTCCTGAAGGCTTCCGGCGGTGTCCTTAAGGATTCCTGAGGATTGGATTGCTTGGGGTTTCTTGAGGATTCCCGAGGGGGTCCGGAGGATTCTTTCGGGAGTCATGAGGATTTCTTGGGAGCTCCTGAGTATTCCCTAGGGTTTTTTTTGATGATCCTCCATGGGTTCCAGAGGATTCCTTTCTGTGTTCCTGAGGTTTCCCGAAGGACTCCCGAAGATGCCCTAGAGATTCCTCAGGATCCCGTATGGGGTCCTGAGTTGTCCCTAAGGATTCCGGAGAATTCCCCAAGGGATTCCTGAGATTCTTGGGGGGGTCCTGGGGATTCCCAAGGGGGTCCTGATGATCCCCTGGGTTTTTCTAAGGATCCCCTAGGGCTTCCTGCGGATCCCCGAAGGATTTCGGAAGTGGTTCTGGAGGGTTCCCTTGTGACATCCTGAATCTTCCCTCGGGATTCCGGAGGATTCCCGAGGGACTCCTGAGTGTTCCTTAGGGGGCCCTGAGGAACCATGAAGGAGTCTTCCGGATTGCTGCAGGATTCTTCAGGGTTCCTTTGGTTCCGTCAGACATCCGAAAGAATCCGCAGGGAGCTTCGCGGATCTTCAGGGTCCCCCAGGGATCCTCAGGGCTCCTCAGGGTTCTTCAGGGGCCCTCAGGAATCCGCGGGGATCCTCAGGGTCCCTCAGGTCCTTCAGAGATCCTCGGGGGTCCTCAGGGCCCCTCAGGGATCATCGGGGCGCCTAGCGCATCCTCAGAGATCTTCAGGGTACCTCAGTGTTCCCCAGGGTCGCTCAGGGATCCTCAGGGTTTCGCATGGTTCTGCAAGGATCCCCAGGGATCTTCAGGGGTCTTCAGGGATCCTCAGGGATCCGATCTTCAGGGTTCACCAGGGGTCCTCAGGTGAGGATCATCAGGGCCCCTCAGGGATCATCGGGGCGCCGTAATTACGGGTCCTCAAGGGTCCTCAGAGATCCTCAGGGCTCTTCGGGGCTCTTCAGGGTTCCTCAGGGTCTTTCTGGAATCCCCAGGGTTGTTCATGGTTCTCCAAGGATCCCTAGGAATCCTCGAGGGTCCTCAGGGATCCTCAGGGTTTCTCTGGGATCCTCAGGCGAGGAATCTTGGGGATCCTCAGGGATCTTCAGGGGTACTCAGGGATCCTCAGGTCACGATCCTCAGGGATCCTCAGGTGAGGATCCTCAGGGGTCTTTGGGAGTCTTAGGTGAGGATCCTCAGGTGAGGACCGTCAGTGATCTGCAGAGGTCCTCAGGGCTCCTCAGGTGAAGGTCCTCAGGGGTTACAGAACCACCCCAAAAGACATCATTCGACGTTTTGCCAAAGCCTCAACATGCAAGGGGGCATCTTGTCGGATATGTCCTCCCTCGCCCTCCTCCATGCCCTCATCCTCCTCATCGTATTCCTTCTCCTCCTCCTCCTCCTCCTCCTCCTCCTCCTCTTGTTCCCCCTCCTTCTCCTGTAAACCTCCACTCCCCCTCTTCCTCTTCTTCCCCCTCCTTTTCTGCCCCCCTGTCCCTTCCGTGTTCTCCCCCTTTCCCTCCGTCCCTCCTCCTTCTGCTCCTTCCGCCCTTCTTCTCCCATCCCTCTCGCCATCTTTCTCCCCTCCCCAGCGTCTGCCGCCTCCTCCTTCTCCTCCTCCTCCTCCTTCTCCTCACCCCCTTCCCATGGAAGCGGTGAGCAAGCTTGCTCTGTGCTGGTGCACCTTCAAAGCCCTTTCGGGAGCCTGGGCCACCAGTAATCGTATGCATGTGGTGGCGGGCTCTAGAGCGTGCTCCTTGGGTCGATCTGGCGACGTACATCACATCACATTGTCCTTAACGTGTCCTCATGTTGTTGGGGTTGGTTGCTGACCCTCAGTGTCCCCTGAGTGGTGATGTGTTCGTTTGTTTGGGTCTGGTGGATGTTGCCGCGCCAGCAGGGTCAGCAATCGCTCAGCTATGTTGTTCGCTCGTGCGCCATCGCCTTTGCACGTACCATGCCACGAAAGGGGAGACCGCCCTGCCCCATTCACGTTTACGTAACTGCACCCGCTGCCGCCCGCTTCCACTCACTCGCTATCCAGCGGCTGCGAGAGGCGAAGGTGGACAAAGACTCCTTATGGGACGCTCACTCCTCTCCTTTCCCATCCTCCTCCTCCCTTTCCTCTCCTCGTTCTCCTCCTCCGCCTTCTCCCCCTTTCACTTCTCCCCCCCACCCTCTCCCGCCTGGTCCCTCATTTTCCCCGTCCCGAAGGTGGCTGGAAAGCACTTCGTCAACGAGCTGGTGGACAGCGCCACGAGGGACTACGCCAAGCGCGTCCTGGGGGCCGCCTGCAAGGGCCAGGAGAGAAGGGCTGGACAAGGGGGGCCCATGGCTTCCCCCTAAACCCGTTCGGCGACTAGACTGTCCCCAGATGCCCCCCCTCGCATCGTGAGCAACACCGCGGCGGAACGATGTTGGTTCTTCTGGGCTTCTCGGCAAAAAAATGGAGCAGGCGGTTTGGAGATTCGTTCTGCCTCTGGGGGCCCTCGCTGGGCCTCGGGAGCGTCAGAAAAAGATCCAGGAGGAAAAACCAGCCCTGGGGAAATGGTCTGGACCTCCAGCCCACGCATCGAAAAAAATGGAGCAGCAGAACACCATACCTGGTTCGCTGATCATGACAATCCGTGAAACTCTTGCAACATTCACGCGGCGCTAAGGCGAGAGCCACATTTTGAAAAGGAGCCGCCCTTGCAAATGTTGGAACATAAAATACGTTGGAACATAACATGCGCGGCGCTGAGGCGAGAGCCACATTTTTCAACGGACGCCATCATTCGGTTAAACTTTTGCAACTGTTTGAAACGAATGTGCGCAGCGCTCAGGCGAGAGCAACATTTTGAAAACGGGCCGCCCTCCATATGTGAAACTGCCGCCATGTTGTAAGCTTCAGGGGCATATATGGTGAGGATGCCCCAGGCGAAACGCCACGCCAGGCCCGCCCTAAAAAATTGGCCTCGGGGTGCGACAGGGAGAAGTTATTCACAAGGAAAGGAATGGATGAGGAGGAGGTGGAGGAGAAGGAGGAGGAGCAGCAGGAGCAGGAGCAGGAGCAGGAGCAGGAGCAAGAGCAGGAAGAGGAGGACGACGATGAGGAGGAGGAAGCGGAGGAGCAGGAGGAGGAGGAGGAGGAGGAGGAGGAGGAGGAGGAGGAGGAGCGGGCGAGAAGGGGGAGGAGGAGTGGCAGGTGGGGGAGGCAGGGGGGCAGAGCGGACGAGGGCGAAGGGCAGAGTGAGGATGTGGGCGAGGGCGGAGAGGAGCAGCAAGAGGAGGGATACCCAGCTGGTGATGACGAGGGCGAGCATCAGCAGGAGGACAAGGAGGACGGCGGGTCCAACTGGCCGAGTGGCAGTGGCGGAAGAGTGGGAGGGAGGGAACAGAAGGATGATGACAAGCAGGAGCATCAGGAGGGCGAGGAGGCAAGTGCAAAGGAGCGCGTGGAGGCATGAGAGGAGGTAGAAAAAACGGGGGACCGATGAGGATCAGGAGGGGATGAGGGGTATAATGAAGAGCATCAGCATCAGCAGGATAAGCAGCACCAGCAGCAGCGGCAGGGTAATCTAGAAGAGCAGTAGCAGGATAACCACCACCAGGAGGAGGTAGAGGAGGAGGAGGAGGAGGAGGACGAGGAGGAGGGAGGAGGAGGAGGAGGAGGAGGAGGAGGAGGAGCAGCAGGAGCATATGGAGGAGCAGCACGTACAGGAACAGGAGTAACAGTATGAGAGGGAGGAACGAGAGGACGAAGCGCAGAACTGTCATTGGCACCGTATTCTTATTGTAGATAACTCGCGCGCTGCTGCTGGCTGCGGCTACACTGTCTCAGCGCTACCCGTTTGTTCCTTACGATCGCCACGCCAACGCAGGCCTCTGACGGATTGTTTCCTTCAGTCTGCAGGCCCTAGATGTCTCGACCCCCTCCCATGGAACAGTTTTTCATCTCAGCTTCGTTTTGTGATGACTTCGGGGCCCAGAGACGTCGGCGGTCTTGAACGGGGAGGGGGACGAGCAGCAAGTCTCCCGCCAGACTCAAAACGAACTAGCAGCAACAGACACAGCCGGAACTCGCACCGTGGACCCCCACCTCGGCAGCGCACCGAGCGGCCGCGCAGGAATGGCCGATCCCCTCCCTCCGGTGGCACGCGAGCCAGCAAGGGGGGCTCCTCGCAGAGGCCGGAGCGCATTCTGGTGCGGTCGGAAGTTTCGGTATGTCGTGTCGCTCCGCTGGCTCTGGCCCACCACGCCTCGGCACGACACGCTGCCCACATCCGGGCCCGCAGGCGCCTATGCGTCCCGAGCTCTCCCGAGGCTCCCGCCCCGGCGGAGCGGAGCGACACGCCTCTACTCCCGGTCGCAAAGCATGGCGTGCCGCCGGGGCCGCCGCGGCGACACGCTGAGCAGAAGTTCCCGACCGTATGCTTCTACCCCTCTTGCGGGCTTTCGCTGTGGCTCTTGCCAGGCCTGCTCCGACTCGCGGCTCTCGCCGGCCGTCCGGCAGTCGTCGACGTTGCGGCGACCCCCGCGCTGGCGTTCTAGCCTGCACGTCGCCCGCGGCTCGGAATCGGCCTACGGTTGGGAACTTTTGCACAGCATGTCGCTCCGCCAGCTCTGGCCCCCTGCGCTTCGGCGCGACACGCTATCCACTTCGCGGTCTAGCGGCGTCCACGTCCCCAGACTTTCCCATCCTTCCGCCCCGCGGAGCGGAGCGACACGCTATCCGGTCGCAAGGCATGGCGTGTCGCTTGGGCCACGCCATCGGGAAGCCACGGCCGCTCAAGGTTGAACGATCCACGCGGTGTCAGACACCAACGCCGAAGCCGTCACGACACGAGCCCCCCGTAGGTCGTGAACTCTGGGTCAAGGGGCGCGCAAGAGCAGGGCAGGGCAGTCACAGGGGACGGTTGATCGCGAGCCTCAGGGCACTCTATGGATCCACACCAGCCCTTTGGGGCTCCTCCTCCTGTGAGGAGGCCCTCATTGAGAGGCTCCCACTTCCAGCTTGGACGCTTCTGGCTGCCAGCGTGGGGCATGCATAGCGCACAGCCCGAGGGCTGGCACGCCTCTCGGCGGGGGGCGCCGCGACACCCCAGCCCCTTGGAGGGTTCCTCCGAGGGGCTTAGGCGACCCGTACTCCTCCTTCCTCCTCCTCCTCTTCCTCCTCCTCCTCCCTCTCCCCCTCCCCCTCCTCCTCCTCCTCCTCCTCCTCCTCCTCCTCCTCCTCCTCCTCCTCGGGTCGCCTGCGGCCCCGGGGGAAGCCGTGCACGGCCCCTCCGCGAGCCGAACGTCGGTCGCAGTAGCTGCTGCTCAGACTGGACCCCCGCCAGCTGGCAGCCAGGCTGGCGGCCCTTCCCGGTTCGGCGCAGTGCAGAGCAGGCACAGCACGAAGAGCTCGCTGCTCAGCAGTCCCGTGGTGCCGTGCTCCACACGAGGCGCGCGAGCCCTCGCGCTGCTCGCCGGCCCTTTCATCCTCAGCGACGCTCGCCGCATCCTCCCTGGACCTCCGACACCGTCAGCGGCCCCACGCATGGCCCCCCGTTCTCTCGTCCCAAATTTCTCGGGGCCGGCCTTCGTCCTGGACCGTGGGCTCTGTAGTCGTGGGGTGTCACGGCGTGGGAGAGTTTGTCCGTCGCCGCCCTGCCTTCGAGGAGACGCCCATGTTCGAGTTCGGGGTCTGCGGGAAGGACGCCAGCGCCGCCCGCGCCGCCGGCTGGGCCCGCTTCCTCGCGTGTGCGCTGGCAGCCCCGTCGACCTCGTTGCACCCCGACATGCTTTCGATGCCTGCCTCCTCGACGCCGATGGTCTTGCAATTGCTTGCTGCTCCTTGGAGACGGCCCCAAGGATCTGCGTGCGTCGTCGGCGAAATGTTTGGCTGTTGCATCCAGGGGCTCGCGGTCTGAGTTTCTGAGGGAAGAAACATGCAAAAACACACACAAAGTCTGTGGGACAAAACACACACCTGGGCAAAAAGCCCAAAAACATGCAGTCTGTGTGCTTTTTTTGTTGTTCCCACGTGTGCGTTTTTTTCCCACCGTGTCTTTTTTTCCCACGGATCTCTGTGCGTCGTCGGCGAATCGTTTGGCTGCTGCACCCACGGGCTCGCGGCCGGAGCTTCCGAGGCGCGACCCCGCGAGCCCCCAGGGGGGTGGCCCTGCGCGGGTGCCCCGCGCGGGTGGCACCCGCAGGGTCGCAGGAGAGCTTCCGTAGCCGTTTTGGCTCAAGCCGCTTTTGGTCAGAGCGTGGCTTACCTACTCCAGATTTCGTAATAAGGGGAGGGGGGTCTCATTTCGGGGGGGGTCTCTTCCAGGCTATCTTGGAGGGCCTGGGGGGGTCTGGGGACGATGTTTTGGAGGGTTCTCCCACGGGGGAGGTCTGAAATGGCTTGTCTTGGAGGGTCCAGACCCCCTCCCTTTTATTACGAAATCTGGAGTACCCCGCTTTCGCTTCCAAGCAAAACCAAGTCATACCACGCGCCTCCTCGTCAAGCGGCCTAACCAGTACAGGCCGTAGTTTGGCATCGCTTGGCATCTCTCGGAAGCGAGTGTGGGCAGAAGCGAGGCAGGTTTGGTTTCCCTTTATTTGGTTCGGTCCGATATATCCGCTTGCGCCCATCATGCCCCGGGTCGGAGCCGCACCCGCCACGCGCGCGTTCCTGCTCGCGGCGCTGGTGGGCAGCTGCCCCGGCGAGCCCGGCGTGGGGAGGGGGACCTGCCCCAGTTCCAGCGAGGGCGATGCGGCTGGCCTCGCGCAGCTGCGGATGACTCTCGGCCACCAGAAGGCTCGAGCAGAGCCTGTCAACGCTCCGAGGGGGACCGGGGGAGGCGCGGGCACTCGCGATGCGCAGGGCCTGGCGCCCGTCCTCCCGTGCCCGAGCCCCGACATCGCGGCCCACAACCCGATGCCGGACTTCCACATCGACCTCGACGCCGCCCCCAGGAGCCGTTGGGACGCGGTTGCCACCGAGCTGAAAGACGCCTACGCGTCGGTGAAGCACATCCTCGACGGCACCCTCGAGGGAATGGCGAAGGTGGCCCTGGCGGAGGGCGTCGACGTGATGGGCCTGCTCAACGACTCGGTGGGCCGGGCCGAAAATCTCGTCGGCACCGAGTACTACGAGGAGATGCAGGGCTTGGCCGCTGCTCTGGGGGAGCCCTTCGAGAACATCTGGGCATTCACGCTGATCTACAGCATCTCTGGCGGGTGCACGAGCGTCGTCGGCAACGACATGGAGGGGGGCACCGTCGTCCACGGCCGCCTCCTCGACTACGGCATGGCAGTCCAGCCGATCCAGCTGCATGCAGTGTTCACCAAGGGAGGTAGCACGGTGTTCGAATGCGTCACATATGTGGGGTTCATGGGGTGCTTGACGGGGATGGTTCCAGGTGGGTACTCGATCTCTCTGAACCAGAAAGACACGACACGCAATCCTAATGATGCAGCGGCAGCGGCGACGAACTATTTCCGGGCACTTGTAGGGTCAGTGGAGCCATCGATTTTTATTCGGAATCTGCTCATGGAGGAGGTGTCTTGGGGCCAGCCTATGTTGGCAAAGGTTGCAAGCACACCGCTGACCAGGGCATGCTACCTCACAGTTGCGGGCGTAGGTAAAGACGAGGGCGTGGTATTCTGTCGAACAGCTGGAGGAGTGGACGAGTCTCGCTGGATGGATACGTCGTTGGCCTCTCAGATGTTGCCTGGCCTCGACCTCAATGTCAACCCAGACTTCAATGGCAAACCCTTCGTCTTCATCACGAACGACAATGGCGATTATCGAAGGGGTCACGGAGAAGGTGACGATCGAGGCGCGTGCGCGTGGAACAAGCTCAACGAGTACTACAGTTTCAACAGAAGTGCCATGTGGGACGTCATACTGAACCCGTGTCAACAGCAGAGCACCACAATCCTCGCAACAGTGATGAACCCGAAGGACGGCTCATCCGACCCATTATCCATGTGCCCGGATCCACAGCTATCTGCCTCGCTTCGCTAGATTGGGCCGATCTATTGAATCGCGTTTTTGTTCCCTAGTTATTTGCTCTGCGTATTTCGTCGGCCGCGCACCTATCCAGAGCGTTGCTCACCAGCTAGCGCGCGTCCCCTCGTTTTTTACCGCGGTGCACTCGACGGCCTCTGCCCAGTTGCGATATAGGGCTCTAGGATGTCATACCAACCAGTCAGTGACACGGGGTGTGACGCCCGGCGCATCGGGATCTGACCCAGCGGGAGGCCGCGGCCTTGGGTTCTGCAGCCTCGGTGGCCGACCGAGTGTGCGGCCCCCGTGCAGGAGCTTTGAGGTGGGCAAGGGGCGGCGGAGGAGCAGCATCACGGGGCCGAGGAGGGGGCGCTGGCGACACAGCGATCGTCAGCGGGCCCATTGCGCGCCACGCCCACATCGAGGCTCGAAGGCCCGCTGGACGCCGCCTCGCTGCAAATGAGCGGAAGCGGTGTTCGGCAGCAGTCCGTCGCAGTCTCGGGGGCGCCCGTTCGTTTGGGGCATCCCGCTGCCGGCAGCGAATCCGCCACCGGGCAGCGCGGAGCACGCTGCGCGGCGACGCTTCGATCCGCGCCCAGCCCTCGAGACATCTCCCGTCGCCCCTCGGGGCGGTCCACGGGGGTAGAAGGAGCAGCCACGTGCGCCCAGATTCCCGAGAATTCAGTCCGGCCTCTTGAGGAGGCTTCGGGGAGCCCCGCTCCCGAGGTGGAGATGGGCGCTGTCTGCGTCCCGCATGGCCCGTAATTCGAGGGGCACGGATGGGATCAGTTTGGAGCCGATTTCAGGCCGAAGAATTTTGAGATTTTGAGCGCGTGCCCCGTCGCCATCCCCACCGACTGGTTGGACAAAGGATGGGTATGCCTCCTTTCTATGCCGTGGTGTTCCCAGGTTGCATCAAGGCCACCACCTCGCCTAATTGTAAGCACCCTGCGAATCAGAGCATTCACCGTGGTAGGTGCGCAGCGCAGCAGGGGGAGGGCTGACAAGCCAGCGTTGCGAAGAAAAGGGTCGCAGAGAGCTTGCATCTCTATCCGGTGAGCCCAAATCAGGTCCGTGACTGGGGGTCGCCCTCCCCCGCCCCCCGTAAGTGCATCGAACGTACTGGGGGGGCACTCGGCCCCATCGCAGATTAGCTGCGGCAGCTTGTCGTCGTCGTCGTCGTCGTGGCCGCCGCCGGTCGTGGTCGTTGTCGTCGCCGTCGCCGTTACCGTCGCCGTCGCCGTCGCCGTCGTCGTCGTCGTCGTCGTCGTCGCCGTCGTCATCGTCGTCGTCGTAGTCGTCATTGTGATTGTCGTTGCCTTGGCATCGCTCGGACGTGTGCGTGTTTTCCAGCGAGGGCCACCGAGAAGCACATGGCACATGGGGTCACCAAACGAAAAAACAAAAAAGCGCACGATATTGGAAAATACACGGGAATGGACGTCCGAGCGATGGCCGGGGATCTTCTGACCCGGGTCAATCCAGACCCGGGTCAGTCAGGCGCCTGTGAGTTCCTGTGAGATCATGCGCCCAAGCCCTGTCCAATGCGAAGGATTTTGCAGGATCTTCCAGGACCCTGCGCCCAAGCTAGGGCCGGTGCGACCCTGGCCCTGCAGGATCCTGCAAGATCGGGCGCTCTGGCCAACCCCCGTTTGCACTAACCCCTGCCTCGATCCAAGGCAGGAATTCATACATGGCCCACCGCCTGGAGGATCTCTTTCCGGTGACCTCGGCAGGCGGTGGACATGGACACCTTCGGGCCCCCGGGGGCCAACATGTATCCGTGTCCACCGCTCGCCGGGGCACCAGGACGTCGGTTCCCAGGCGGTGGATATGGACCCAGACATGCGACGTCCTTATTTGTTCAGGACGACGTCCCCGGAGAGCCGGCCCGGAGGCCTTTGGTGGGAAGCTCGGGGGGCCCGTCGATCGAGCCTCTCGTGGTGGCCACCGCGGGCGATGACGAGCAACAGCTCCTTGCATGGCGCACGCACGTAGAGAGAGAGAGAGAGAGACAGAGAAAGAGAGAGAGAGAGAGTGATGTTGAGAGAGGGATATCTAGAATCTAGATATCTCAATCTCTCTCTCTCTCTCTCTCTCTCTCTCTCTCTCTCTCTAGATTCTAGAGGGAGAGAGAGAGAGAGAGAGAGATTGAGAGAGAGAGAGAGAGTGATAGAGAGATAGAAAGAGATAGAGAGACACACCGATGCGGACCGCGGATCCGACGGCCGAGCGCGCAGGCGGCTCGCGCCGTCGCCTCCCGGGGCTGCAGGGCAGCGTGGGGAGGCGGGGGTGGCACCGACGGGAGCCTCGGTGCCCCGAGCGCATCTCCTGGGCATGCGACCGGGAAGACGTGGTCCGCCAGCGGTGCGAGCGTAGGTCCTCCTCCTCCTCCTCCTCCTCCTCCTCCTCCTCCTCCTCCTCCCCTCCTCCTCCCCCCTCCTCCCCCCTCCTCCTCCTCCTCCCTCCTCCTCCTCCTCCTCCTCCTCCTCCTCCTCCTCCTCCGGTAAAAAAAAAGAAACAAAAAAAAGAGTCTGCGGCCGGGGGCGGCAGATGCGCAGGGGGGGGGTGGGGGGGGGGGGGATAGGCGGCTTTGGCAGGGCGCCCTCCCCGCGGCGGGAGCGAGACTCTCGGGCATCCCCCCAGCGCTCCAGCGCCACTCCACGGCCAGCCTGTGCGGCTGGAGCGTGGGACGTGGGGAATCGGGCGGCAACAGCGGCCGCGGGGAAGATCGTGGCGTTAAGTCGGCCCTGTCCCTCCAAAGGAGGAATCTTCAAAAATAATAGTCCTGGGACGACTGTTTGACAATCTTTGACCATTTGGGAGTCTTTTCTGAATTATTTGTTTCCTCCAAGCTCCGCCTGTAGGGGGATATGCCCGACCTAACCGTAGCGGGAGGGGGAGCCAAAGCCTCCCTTCGCACCGAGAGGGTGGACCCGTCGAGAGACCCCCCCTCTTCTCCTCCGCCTCCTCCTCCTCCTCCTCCAACTCCTCCTCCTCCTCCTCCTCCTCCTCCTCCTCATCCGCATCCGCATCCTCATCATCCTCCTCCTCATCCTCATCCGCGTCCTCATCCGCATCCTTCTTATCCTCCTCCTCCGATCTGGCAACATTTTTGTCAGAATTGTTCCAGTACGATGTTGTACTTCTCGTGCCGATCTCTTGCCGATCCTCCTCCCAGGCGCCAGCGCCCGTGCCCGCAGGGCGCGGGCGCCCCCCCACCCTGGACCCCCCGGGACACCGCGCCAGCAGCGCCCGTGGGCGCAGCCGCCCGCAAAGGGGGCCTGGAAGGGACGAGGGAGACGCAGGGGCAATTCCACCCCTATGACACCCTCCTCCCCCTCCTCCTCCTCCTCCTCCTCCTCCTCCTCCTCCTCCTCCTCCTCCCCTCCTCCTCCTCCTTTTTCTCTCTCCTCCTCCTCCTATTCCTCCCTCCTCCTCCTCCTCCTCATCATCATCCTCCTCATCTCACCACCATCAGATCAATCTCATCACATCATCATCATCATCATCATCATCATCATCATCATCATCATCATCATCATCATCATCATCATCATCAACAACATCACCAGCATCATCATCATCATCATCATCATCATCATCATCATCACCATCACCATCACCATCACCATCACCATCATCATCGTCAGCATCAGCATCAGCAGCATCATCAGCATCTTCATCATCATCACCACCATCATCATCATCATCATTATCCTCATCATCATCATCATCACCATCATCATCATCATCATTATCATTATCATCATCATCATCATCATCATCATCATCATCATCATCATCATCATCATCATCATCATCATCATCGTCATCATCCCCTATCATCCCCCTCTTCCTCCTTCTACCTCCTCCTCCTCCTCTTCTTCCTCCTCGTCCTCCTCCTCCTCCTTCTACCTCCTCCTCCTCCTCTCACGGCATATGCTGGGTTGCGCCCGCCCCGGGGTGCCGGGGTGCTTGGGGGGAGCGGGCAGGCAGGGGAGCTGCGGTCGCCGCACCGCGCAGGGAGAGGCGGCCCTGGCAAGAGCAGAGCCCTGCGTCGGGGCCAGGCAAACGCCGCACGGCCAAGCTGTACACTGGCACGGGCAAGTGCCAGGCCAGTGCTGTGGTGGCCGAAGGGAGGGCCTCTTGGCCAGTGGGGGAGAGGGAGGGGCCCGATGGTGGGTCGGGGAGGGGCTCGATGGAAGTCAGCACGTCGGCTCCCCCCGTGTGGCGAAATCGCCGAACCATGCCAAGTGACGCTCGTGGTCGGCCTCGGACTCGTTCGTACACCGACGGAAGATGGTACGCGTGGCTAGGAGTCCAGGCTCGCCACAGGGACGGCGGAGGCCCGCGAGGGTGAGCCGCGCGGCCCAGGGGAGGGCACGTAGCAGCTGCGAGCCAACGACGAATACACATGTCGACGGCCTACGGCATGTGCGAAGGAGCGCGTCTGGTCGGCAGGGGCCCTCGGGGGGGGGGGGGACACGTCAAGGCAGAGTTCGGGTGGGGCGAGGGCGTATATGCGCAGTGGGCGGCAGGCACCCAGGAGGGGAGGATGCCGGGGCCGCGAGTGGTCCTCCTCCTCCTCCTCCTCCTCCTCCTCCTCCTCCTCCTCGTCCTCCCCACAGGCACAGGGAGGTGCCAGGGAGGGCCGCCCCGACTGGCAGGCGCCCGGCCGCAAAGGGCGGCGCGGATGTCGCGGAAGGGCCAACGCTTCGGCCAGACTGCGGCGGCCCGCGTCGGCAGCTGTCGTCCTTGGTGGTCGGCACTGGTTGCCCCCTGGGGTCGGGAGGCCCGATGGGGAGGCCGTCGGCGGCCTCTCGGTCTGGGACCGAGGTTTGCCCGCGGGGTCCGAGGGCCATCAGGCATCTCGCCGGGCGTGGGCGAACGAGAGAGGGAGAGAGAGGGAGAGAGAAAGAGAGAGAGAGAGAGAGAAACAAACACAACAGCAAAAAATGCACAGAGGGAGAGAGGCAGAGAGAGAAAGAGACAAGGGAATCGACAAGGAAGGGGGAGAGAGAGAGAGAGAGAGACCGATGCATCGATGCGTGTAGACAGCTGCACACGCGTAATGCATAATATAGCCGCGCCGTGTGTTCCGACGCGGGGCCTGCGGCCACCAGGGGGGAACCCCAGCCTCGGGCGCGGAGGGTCTGCCCCGAGGTGGCTCGGGTGCGCGGGGTCTGCCGTGGATTTGCCGTGGTGTCGGCGTTGCCCACCTGGGCGCGTCGAGAACAAGCGGCGTGGCGACACACACACACACACACAAAGACGCACTCACTCACGCACACATATATATATGTGTATATTGATGCATCAGATTGAGGGGGCCGAACGGTCACTCATTGTCCCTGGGTGCCTGGCCGAAGTGGGGATCCGTGGTGAGGATTATGTATGTTGCGTTGTTGTTGTTGTTGTTGCTGTTGCTGTTGGTGTTGTTGTTGTTGTTGCTGCTGTTGTTGTTGTTGTTGTTGTTGTTGTTGTTGTTGTTGTTTATTTATTTAGTTGTTTATTGATTTATTTATTGATTTATTTATTTATTTATCTTATTTCTTTCGTTCTTTCTTTGTTTGTTTGTCTGTTTGTTTGTTTGTTTGTTTGTTTGTTGTCGTCGTCCCCCCTGTGACCCACCCGCGACCCACCCGCGACCCACCCCGCGACCTACCCCGCGATCCACCCCGCGACCCACCCCGCGACTCACCCGCGACCCACTCCGTGACCCGCCCGCGACCCACCAACGACCAACCCCGCGACCCACCCGCGACTCACCCTGCGACCCACCCCGCGACCCACCCCGCGACCCACCCGCGACCCACCCCGTGGCCCGCCCGCGACCCACCCGCGACCCACCCCGCGACCTACCCCGAGACCCGGCCCGCGACCCACCCGCGACTCACCCGCGACCCACCCCGCGATCCACCCACATTGCTTTTACGGAAAAATCGGCGCCTGCGGCGGGCTCACCAAATAACTTGTAAAAGTTGGGCGCCTGCGGCGGGCTTCTTCAGAGCCTCGCAGACTGACGACGCCCTCGCCGCCCCCTCACTCTGATTCGCAACTGCTGGGTGCTACATATATAACGAACTATGTCTAGTGCAGAAACATAGATGGCATTATCATGTATATATGTTTGCATGTGTGTAAGCATGCATGTATGTGTGTTTGTGTACATGTATGTTTGCATGTATGTACGTATGCATGTATGTATGTATGCATGTATGTGGGTACGTACGTATGCATGTATGCATACAGGCATGAATGTATACATGCATGTATGTATGCATGCATGTATGCATGAACGTGTGTATGTATGTATGTGTGTAGGTATACATACATACATACATACATACATACATACATACATACATACATACATACATACATACATACACAATCATGTATAACTATATCCGTAAGGTATTCGCCCCCTGTCGCTGTCCCCTTTTCCATCAGAACGGGATTTACCAGATCCGGGTTGGAATCTCGGGGCGCCGTCTTGAAGACGTCTGGGGGGGGTCATAACAGGACGGCCGGCCGGCCGGCGATCAGCAGCGCAAATTGAGGTGCCGAAGTGGATCGTAGCCTCGATAGGGGCACGAGCGCTGCGTAATTGGCAGGGGATCGTGGGATCGTGGCCTCTGAGGGTGGGGGGGAGGGGGGGGCGCACGCGGCGGCCTCTGCGAGGCGTCGTGCCTCGGGGGCGCGCACGCTGTGCAATCTCTACACGGGGTCGTGGCTTCGGAGAGGCGAACCCAGGGGTCGCAGCCTCGACAACGCGAACATCGTGCAGTTTCACAGGGCTTGTGGCGTTGGGGGCCCGCGCACTGCGACGTGTACTAGATATCGTGGCTCTGGGGGCTCGACTCTGTATGATTATGTAAGACGAGCCGTGGCGTCGGGGACGCGCAGAGGGCGTACTGTACGAGGCATCGTGGCCTCGGGGACGCGAATATGCCGCAATGTGATAGGGATCGTGGCTCCGCAGACGTAAATCTGATGGCCTGGAGGGCGCGCATGCTATGTAAATGACGAGCGATCGTGGCCTCCATAACGCGAACATCGCGTCATCCACGAAAACCGTGAGCTCGGGCACGCAAGCATAGTGTAACTTATTATGGATTATTTCCCCGTGGGCGCGGCGCGAACATTGTGTAATTTAGCACGGTTTGTGGTTTCGGGGGCGCCAGCATTTTATGATTTACGAGGGATCGTGGCCGTGCGGACGCGAACCTGGTGTAAGTAAAAGGTGTTACCAGAGATCATGGCTTCGGGGGCGCAGACCTGGCGTACTTTACAAGGGGGTTATGGCTTCGGGACGCAGCTACGGCGTAATGTTCAAAAGCTTATGGCTTCGGGGATGCAAACACTGTGTAAGTTGCTAGGGGTTATGGCCATGGGGACGCGAATATCGTATGGTTTCCTAGAGACGGCCTCAGGCACGCGAACATGGTATATTTTGCTATGCTTAATTGCCCCCTTGGGGCGCGAATCTCACATTTTTTATGTGTCCCACGATTCCCCCATGAATTCTGAGACCACCCCAAGGGGGTGGTGTAGTTCGTTTTTGCCCCCCCCCCCCCCTGCCCGAACTTCAACACTGTACAATTGGAATCAGACCGTAGAACCATCACATCGGAAATTGGAATGGGTGCAGGGGGCAGCAAATCTAAGTCGCGCAGCTTGGTGGCCTCACAAGGGGACCGGCGGATACTTACATATTATATATACACCAATACCTATGTGCAGTCGTACATCTGTACGCACATACAACATACACATGCATTTACACAGACACAGTCTACACATGCGTATTCATACACCTATACCCCGACATATGCATATACATGGACATGCACATAGACATGCGCATACACATACACATACATATATCCGCACACCTAGAACTACACCCATACACATGCACATACAGTTTCACATACATGCATGCATGCATGCATGCATGCGGGCATCCATCCATGCATCCATCCATACATACAGACATACGTACATACACATACATACATACGTACGTAATCACATACATACATACATACACATATACGACCTGCATGCATGCATAAGTGCATACCTGTATACATGCATACGTGCATAATTGCATACATGCACACATACATGTTTGCACACGTACACGCCTACGTACATGCACACATACATACATACATTCATAGACTCGTACATGCATGCACGTATGCATGCATACATACCTTAATTCATACATGCGTCCACGCATACCTACATACATACATACATACATACATACATACAAACATACATTTGTTACATGTAGACATACATACAAACATACACATGCATAAATACATAAGCACGCATGCACACAAACAGACATACATACAGACAGACAGACAGACAGACATACATACAGACAGACAGGCAGACATGCTTGCTTACATACATACATACATACATACATGCATACACACATACACCTTCAAATACTTACACGCACACATACACGCATACATGCATACACACATGTAGAGATATGGGCACGTACGCATATCTCTGGTTATACATGTTTACATATAGAGAAAGGAAGATCGATAGAGACACAGAGAGAGAGCAGAAGAGAGATAGAGACCGATACATAGAAAGAGAGAGAACGAGGGGAGAGACAGAGAGAAATACAGTCATAGACAGTGGCAGAGACAGAGCTAGGGGGAGCATGATTTTGGCCTCCAGGATGCCTGCCAGTTTTGGAAGCCAGCTGGGGGGGTCTCAGGCTCGCCTCGGAGCTCATTGCGATCATCCTGATTTTGCTGAGGATCCGCTTCACCCCCAGCGAGACTGGAACCACCGGTGTGAGCCACCGCGCAGCGGGCTTCCCAGAGGAAGGGCATGCCCAGCGCCCCGGAGACCAGGACTGTGCAGACCAGGCTCTCGCCAGAGCCAGGCTGATAAAAGCTGGAGAGCGGGGCGTGCTTCGATCCACGGCGGCAGTGTTCTCTTGGAGCGTGCCGATGCCCTGGTCTACCAAGTCCCTGCCTGCGGGACCCAAGCATTTTCTCTCAGGGGCCCCACATGTTACGAGGAAAATCCGGGAGGCCTCGCGTGGCGCGCAGTAGCCGACTGTTCTAGTCCACACGTCAGTTGCGCGGCGATGCCCCAGCGTCAGTCCGAGGTACATCCCACGCAATGCCGACGCAGTCCGACGGGAACCCGACACAAATCCGACGTGGATCGGGTCTCAAGTTGCCGCGCGAAGCCCTCCCATCCGTAGCCCTCTTGGCCCGCAGGGTGCGTCCAGCGCCCGCCACCCTCCATCTCACCGGACCCACCCAGCGACGTCACGAGGGCCTGCGCATCGGAGGAGGGGCAGTTCAGACAACGCCAATTCCCCTGCCCAGCCCGAGTGCGCTCAAGATCGGTCCCCGACCCCCTCCCGAAATCCACCATGATCTGCTTGTCGAGTCGGATCCAGCCGTGGTGACGAGACGCTTCCAGGAGGCCCAGAGAGGACCAGAACCGCCAATGAGCGGCGCCGTCGCCTCGACTAACCCTCCTCCGAGGGAACACCATGGTCGGCTACAGGGCGCTGCTGCTTCTGTCTGGCAGCGCCCTCGGCTCCCTCGGCCTCGACGTGACGGCCCGCGACAGCACGGCCGCGGCCCTCCAGAGCAGGCGCGGCGCTGGTGACGAGCCCACCGGGCCCATCGTGGCGGGCTCCGAGTACCCCGCCAGCAGCTCCTCGCTCCTGGACTCGGCGGCGAAGAGGATCGAGGGCCAAATCGTCCTCCTCCTCTCCTCCTCTCCTCCTCCTCCTCCTCATCCTCCTCCTCCATGTCCTCCTCCTCCTCCTCCTACTCCTCCTCCTCCTTCTCCTCCAGGCTCCGTGCCCTTGCAGGAGGCGTCATGGTCTGTGTCCCCCTCCTCCTCCTCCTCCTCCTCCTCCTCCTCCTCCTCCTCCTTTTCCTCCCTCTTCTCCTCCTACCTCGTCCTCCTACCTCGTGCTAGATGATCCTCATCGTCCTCCTCCTCCTCCTCCTCCTCCTCCTCCTCCTCCTCCTCCATGTCCTACTCCTCCTCCTCCTCATCCTCCTCCTCGTCCCTGTCCTCCTCCTCCTCCTCGCCTCCTCCTCCTCCTTCTCCTCCTCCTCCTCCTCCTCCTCCGTAGCCATTTTGGCTCAAGATGGAGGTTTCCCCTGGGAACCGAACGGATACCGCTAGTCCGCGGCTGGCAAGACTTCTTGAAGTCTGGCATCGACTCTGGGCCACCTCTCCAGCGCTCGCGTCGGTGGGTAAACGGAGGCATTTCCCGTTCCTGTCGGCTCGATCGCTTCCAGCTTCGAAGCCATGCCTGGAGCAGCGAGTCCCGAGAAGATCCGCGTCCACTCGGTGGGCTCCCACAGCTGCAGCGGCCGCTCGACGTCCAGGACACGATCATCCAAGTCCCACTCGCGGGCGCCCGAGCCTCGCCGCAAGGCGCCACAAGCTGATCATGGACGGCTGGTCCGCCCTGGTGCTGCCGCTCCTCCTTCTGGCCACGCTGGTCCTGCTGGCCGTCGGGGAAAGGGCGACAGGAAGCCCTCCAACCTCTCCCCCAGCGAGGCGTGCTGGCGCCAGAGAGCAGCTGATGCGGCCTTCGAGATGCAGAGAGACGGGATCGACCTCGACATGCTGGCTACGTTCCCCTCGCAGGGCGCGGGGGAGGCTGGAGTCGGGGATGCTGCTGATAAGGACGCCGCCGCCAGTGCCAGGGACGGCTCTCGTCAAGCTGCTGGCGTTGGCGGTGACCCGTGGAGGACCTACCTGGACAACGGCGGGACCCCCCTGGGCCCTGCTTCGCCACTGGGACCAAGCCGTGGCCACCCCCCCGTTCATGCTGCTCCTCCTCGTGATCAGCGGCCTGGCGCGACTCCTGGGGCCTCATCTGTGGCGACTTCGTCTGGGGATACGGGCGGTGCCGCGGATGCTACCCCGTCCAACCCCACACAGGCCGCCCTTCTCCAGCAAGTTCAGGCGGCCATCACCTCCGCCGTCACGTCAGCGGTCGTCGCCAGCGTCGACGCCACCCTCTCGGCGGGCCTGGCGCAGATCCAAGGGGTCATGGAGTCCCGTGTCGGTGCCGTGGAAGGACGCCTTCGGGGGGTTGAGCAGAAGCAGTTGGACATCGAGAGGCAGCTGCGCGCGGACATTGCACAGCTCCGCGAGCAGATGGGCATCATGGCGCGTGCTGAGCCATGTTCCGCCCCTGCTGGCCCTGAGTGGGGCCGCCCTCCAGACCTCACGGCGGTGGTCGTGCGTTGCAAGGAGGAGCTCCCCGCTGCGGCCTTCATGCAGGCCATCGACCCCCTCCTCACGGCGGCTGGCACGGGCCCCGACTCATTCGCGGTCGAGGCGGAGCCCCTCGGCAAGCGCTGCGTCTTCCGCTTCAAGGGACCCCCTGAGCTCGGGGCTAGAAGGGCTGCTAAGGTGCTAGGGTGCATGCGCCTTGGCCGTGGGGAGTGGCGCAAGCCACGTGCCACGACGCCTGCAGGCCACGAGGTCGACATATTCGTGGCGCCCGACCAGAACCGCAAACAGGTGTTGCACGAGCTCACGCTCAAGAAGCTCGCCGTCGCGCTGGGGCGCGTCATCGGCGACAGTCACCGCATCCTCGTGGACAAGCAGAAGTTCTCCCTCTAGTCCCAATGGGAGGCCTTCCTTCGACTCACCATCGACGGCCCCAACTCCACCCCGGCTGTGTCCTGGTCGCCGTCTGCGCTCTCGGCTATCGTGCTGCGGCGTGAGGACCTCGAAGCGACGGTGGAGGCGGCTCTGGCGCCTGGTGATGATGATTGGTGTCTTTAGCACGTTTGTAAAGCTCTTCGCCGCCCCGCAGAGCAAGGGGCTCACCTTCGCCACCTGGAATGCCAGAGCATTCTGCTATTACAAGGCGAACGTGGCGGCACGCAAGAGCGACTATCTTGGGAATGCACTCCGAGCAGGGGCTATCGCTGGTATGCAGGAGGTCCACGGGTCGGCCGTGCGCCTGCGTATGCTGATAGATCGCTTGGGGACGGACTACCAGATGTTCTGCTCCTTCGGTGGCAATGCTGACGAGTCTCTCGGCAGCGTCGCCGCCACCTTCCCCTGCAAGGTGCGCGCGGGCATGGACCTGCGCAAGACGTTCTGCATCAAGGCGCGGGTGCTCCGTGTCACGGCCACGATCACGGACGGGCCCCACTCTGGCTACACGCTGAAGCACTGGAACATTCATGACCACGCCCTCTCGCGCGAGCAAGTACGACGGGTTGCAGGCGCGATCCAGGCTGATCTGCGTGACATGGAGATGAATCCAAGGAGGTGCTGCGTTGCGGTTGTGTGCGACTTCAACTACGGCGGGAATGCGGAGGTGGAGGGCCCCCTGGTTCCTGGTGACGGACGCAGGGCTGCCTCTCACCCCCGCGGGCGCGCATGGGCGCATGTGCTGAGTGCTGCGACGGAGATGATACCTCACAAACCGACACACTGGCATCCTGGCAGGCAGATCGCTACCACGATTGACAAGATATGGATTGGCTCCCCACGCTGGTTGCCCACGCAGACTTTTCAACGTGGGCAGGTGCATGGAGAGCCTCACGAGTTGCACCTCGACGGGCTCTCGGACCACGCGATGTACTCTGCAGCGTGGACCTCTCGCCCCCCGAGAAAGAGACCGACCACGGGCGTCATCAACCCTGTCCCCTCCTTCGTCTCTGAGAATCCCCTATTTGGCGAGATGATCAGGAAGGACGAATGCGAGGTCCCCCTGGATGGTCTCTCTCCCCCTGACCGAGTACACTACCACACGAAGATCCTGCAGACTGCAGCGGCCGCCACACGTGATGTCATTCTTCGCGGGGGGCCTGGCTTGCGCTCACCGACGGGTTTGATCTGGAGACAGCTCGGTCGAGCGATATCGAGGCAGGACGTTCGGGTGGCTGAGACCCTGCTGCGCCAACATGCATGGACGAGCCAGATGGTCGAACTTCGCTACCACCCAGGACTTGGCAGAGCACAAGTGATGCTCCTAGACCCCCAAGAATTCTCCAGACGGTACCGCATTGCGCAACACCTCGAACTGCAAGAAATGCCCCGCCTGCATCAGCATGACACTGACGGGGAGCCAGTCGAGTCCAACAAAGTAGCGCTGGTAAGGCAGCAAAGGGCCTTACGACGGCGCGCGGCCCTCTGGGCCCCTACGTCGGCACGTCGCTTCCTCGGCGGCGTCGAACTGGATGGCGGCACGGTTGCGAGCACGGAGCAGGATATTCAGAGGGCGCGAGCGAGCTACTGGCGAGGCGCCCTCGGCGACGACGTGGCGAAGCGGAAGCAGTCAGCCGAGGAAATGATGCGCAGCCTTGCCTCCAACCATAACGTCACCCCCATGTCCTTCCAAGACGGCATCATGGTCCCCCTCCCGCGTGATGCTCCTCGTGTTGTTCTGCGTCGTCGGGAACTCCAGGATGGCTATCTCCGACGCTACGGCATCCAAGGTGCTGACTGGGCCTCGATCGAGCCACCCTCGGCGCGCGCCGTGGCCATGGCGCTTCGCAGGGCCCGCAAGTCAGCTCCTGGCCCAGACGGTCTCGGCGCTAGGGCTTGGATTCTCACGCAGTTGGGGGTCGAGACGCTGGCGGAGGCTATGGCGTGGCAGCTGGGGGGGGGGGGGGCTGCCCATGCGCCAGGAGCGGAACTTCTCCATCGCCGTCTTCCCCGCCAAGGGAACGCGTGCTGATGGCCCGCAAGAAGTCCTCAGGCGCGCTGGTGAGACCCGCCCACTAGCGCTTGAGAACACTTCCAAGAAGGCCGTCATGTGGGCCCTCAATCCGTGCATGGAGAAGGTGGCGGAGTGGCACTGCGTGGACACGCAGCGAGGCTTCATCTGCGGGCGCAACGTCTGCGACAACATAGTCGAGCTCGACGCACACTCCCGCGCGCTCCCCATGGCTGCGGGGCACGGTGCCTCCCCCTTCCTCATCTCCTTCGACTGGGCCCAGGCCTTCCCGAGCATCGCGCAGGACTGGCTCTTCGGCGCGCTCCGCGCCATGGCCGCCCCCCAGGGGCTCCAGGACGCGCTGAAGGTCAACTACGACGGGGTCGTCTCCCTCGCGGCTTCGCGCACGAGGGCTGCGCTCTATTCGGTGCGCTCGGGCATCCTCCAGGGCGACCCCGCCAGTGGCACTCTGTTCGTCCTCGCCGCCCACCCGTCCGGGCAGGACCTGAAGGCCAACTTGGACTCCAAGCGTCGGGGCATCTCGAGATGGTGCGCCGACGACCTGGGCGCGGCGGTGATGTCCCAACGCGGGCTGCTCACGCTGGCCCGCGTCTTCCGCGCCGCGAAGCTCCTGGCGGGCCTGATGATCAAGCCTGCGAAGTGCCGCGCCATCCCGCCGGGTGACCCGCAGCGTGCTGGCGCGCAGGAGCGGGCGCGGGACTCCCTGGTGGCCGCGGACAAAGACTGGGAGGCGTTCCCAATCGTGGACCGCCTCGAGTACCTGGGCGTGCTGCTGGGACCAGGGGTCACGCAGGAGGTACAATGGCGTGTGCCGATGAAGAAATACTCCGAGCGCGTCGGGGAGATCTCCAGGAGCCGCTCGGACGTGCATGCTGCCATCCTCCTGTGCAAGGAGCGCTGCGTGCCCGTCCTGTCGTACAAGGCGCAGGTGGTGGAGGCCCCCGCCTCCCTGAAGAAGCTCGAGCGAGGGGGGCTGGCGCACCTGCTGCGCCTGCCAGGCAGCTTCCTGGGAGACGGGGAGTGGCATGAGCTCGACACCGTCGGCGGCCCGCAGATCCCCTCCGCCACGGCGATGTGCGAGGCAGCCCTCGCGAGGGCGGCGGTGGTCACGCTGGACTCCTGGCGCACGGCCTCACGGCAGCTCCGCGGGGCCGCGCTGCGGCACCTGCCCTTGGCGCGGACGGTCCGTGGCTGCCCGTGGCCCAGCAGGTGGCAATCTGAGGCCATTGCTGTGACGCTGGAGAGAGCGGCGTCGTGCCGCGGCATGAGCCCCCGCGCGGCGGCCGTGCGCGCCCTTTTTGCGGCCGCCTCCCGCGGGGCCCACCGCAGGCGCGCCAGCCCAGCTGCAGGAGACGAGCGCCACGCTCTCCTGCGGCGTGCGCGGCCACAGCACCTCCTCTACTCCTCCCTCCTTGGTTCGTACCTTCGCTCCGACTCTCGTCTCCCGCGCCTCCACCTCCGCCTGCAAGAGCGTCTCCAGCGCTGGTTTGGGGTCCACGCTGTCGACGCTGCGGCGATCGACTGGTCGGCCGTCGCCTCGGTGATGCATCGCATCCCGCCGTCCTGGCGCAGTGCTTGCATTAAGACCTGGGGAGGGGGTTGGATCACCGAGTCTAGGATGCGCAACCCGTACAGGCGGTGCGTCTGGGGATGTCCTGGGGCTCGAGACTCGCTAAAGCACTACTTTTGCTGGTGCGACCCGATGTATATGCTCGTCCGTAGTCAATTAAATGCCGACCTTCCAGCACCCCCGTTTTTGGACCCCCTCCTAGCTCTGGGCCTGATCCACCCCTCCCCCGAGGCGTTCAAATTCACTGCCTGTTATTTCCATCTTTATAGGTTGGCTCACCAAGAAAGCAAAACCCGCGTTCCGCCGTTTAAGGATAATGACGCTCGCTCGCTCGCTCGTGCTGCACTCCAAGCAGTTGAAACGCCCGTCGGTGGTCAGCGCCGCAGGAGGCCCCGCCCACAGAGGCGATAGGCTGGATAGACACGCGGCCCCCCCCAGACGCTCCAACCTCCTCCTCCTCCTCCCTCGTTCTCCACTCGGCGGCGCGACCAGCGGAAGAAGGCAGTGGGGGCGGGCCTTCTGGTCGGAAGGGCTCCAGGGGCTCCTTCCTGCCGAGGAGCTGTCCACGGGCCCTGTCCGCAGCCACAGCACGGGCTCTTCGGAAGGCCGAAGGGCTTCCCGGGAGCCCTCCCTTCCTCGTCCATGTCCTCTTCCTCCTCCTCCTCCTCCCCCCCCTCGTCCATGTCCTACTCCTCCTCCGCCCCCTCCTCGTCCATGTCCTCTTCCTCCTCCTCTTCCTCCTCCTCCTCCTCTTCCTCCTCCTCCTCCTCCTCCTCCTCCTCCTCCTCCTCCTCCTCCTCCCCGCCGCCGCTGAGAAGGCCCGCCCCCTCCCTCAGTGCGGCCGAACACCGACGAGGCACGACAAGAGGATGCTGCCCGTTCGATGGAGGGCCAGTCGGAGCCAGAGGCTAGCGCGGCGGCCTCACCACCCCAGGAAGCACCAGCAGGTCTACAAACAAGTCCTGGGGCGACCCTCTGGAGTGCGGCAGGGCGAACCAGCGAACCACCACAATCCAGGTCGACCCAGGGCCAAACTTACAACAGAGGAGGCCCCGCACGAATTATGACGCCGTCGCGGAGCCTGCCCGATGCAGAGGAGCAAGAAACCACCTCCCGGAAAGCTGGGCCGGCGTTTCTGAACCGGCTTGCTGGACTGCTGGCCCCAGTCTCTTGCGCGCGTTCGCCCCTCCAGCGTTACCACAGAGATGTGGTCCGCGTCTGTCTGCAGAAACTTCCAGAGAACAAGCCGGCCCGGGTCTCTTAAGTGAGAATGTCATGGATCAGATGTTCGGCTGTATCGTTTCGCCGACCCTATCCCCATCCCCATCTCCGTCCAGACCCCCACCATCCCAGCACCCCGTTTAAGGATATCCCTGTCCAGGGGGGCAAGTCGGCCAGTGGGGCCCCTGCCACGCCCATGGGTGACTGGGGTCGGTGGAGCGATGTTCGCTCTCACTGCCCCCCTCTGCGCGCCGCCAGAAGAGAGGCCGCATGAGCATGTCAGAAGCAACGACAAGGGGAGGGGGGGGGCGGCCCCAGGGGGGAAGCGTCAGTCCCACGAGGAGGAGAAGGAGGAGGAGGAGGAGGAGGAGGAGGGGGAGGAGGGGGAGGAGGAGGAAGAGGAAGAGAAGAAGGAGGAGTAGCAGCTAAACTCGGCCAGGAAAACTCGGCCAGGCTGATCTCGGCCAAGACGAATTCGGCCCGGGCTTGGCCGAGCTTCGACTATAGACGTGAGAGTGACCCTTCGCCGGAGTGGCCTTTGGTGCGGACCCATTGGGGCCCCCCGATCGCCGAGCGCGATGCGATGGTAGCGTCTTGCGCGCCTGTGTTCGGTCCCAGTTAGGCCCCCCCGGCGGCCCCCAGCTTGGCCCCCCCCCCCCCCGGCGTGATCTCGTGGTGCGGGCGGTCCCCCCGATCGTCGAGCGCGATGCGATTGCAGCGGCCTGCGCGCTTAGGTTCGGGCCCCCGGCGGTACCCAGGAACACTGGCGCACCAGGGGTTCCTCTGCCCCCGGGGCCGCTCCTGCGTGCAGCCGAGAGTCTACCCCAGACATGCGACGTCCTGATTGTTTCAGGACGGCGCCCCCGGAAGTCCAGACCCTTTCCCCGGGGGCCGGTTTTGCATCACGAGTCGTTCTTTGACGGTCCTGGGGCCCGGCGAGGTCCTCTAGGGGTGTTAGAAATTGTAATCTTTTTGGAGACAATTGAACAAGGAAGTACGCATAACAATAATATTACGAACTTGGATGATTGAGTAAATAAACAAATGCTACTCGTGAGCTATCTACTAGCCGTGTTAATTGTCCAACAAACTATTGAACATACTACGAATGATTTTACACATACATATACGTATACATATGTATACTATTAATAATACTAAAAATAGCAATAAGAACTGTCAAATCATTACCATACATTACACGAGTTCAGAATCTAGAATCTGCTTATGCAGCAGACCAAGAAAACTTTGAAGAACACCAGTAGGCCGAAGATCATGAAGAAACTTCCCGCCCTGATTGTTCAACGACGCCGTCCTCTCTGGGTCCCTGGCCGAGGCTCGCCTGGCCGGGTCCTCTCCCCTGCCCGGGGGCCCGCGGGCGCGCGGGCCTCCCACGCCGCGGGCGCGTGCGGCGGGGCCGGGCAGGGCCTGGCGAGGGCCCCGAGGGGGCGAAGACTGCCAGCGATACAAACACCCTGCTTGCCTCCAGGGTGCCCCGGGCTTCTTGGGTGCTGCGATGGAGAGCGCGTCGCTCCCGCGCCGACACATCGATGGGCGTCCTGGGGTCTCAGGGCCGGGCTGCTTGCGGAGGGTTTCTTGTAGTCGGGCCTCCACTGTATGGGCCCCCTGCCGACCCCGCTCGGCACGAGCTCTCAGACGTCCGCCCGGGGCTGCTCCGTGGGTCGGGCGCTGGAGCCCCGCGTGGCGGCCGCTGCGGGCTCCGCGCGCTGGGGGGGGGGGGGTGGCGGGGGTCCAGCGCTGGCAACAGCCCTGTGCGGGCCTCCGAGGCCCCGCGCCTGCGCCGCCCTGCGTCGCGGATGGGAAAGCTACATGAGCACAGGAGCATGAGCTCAAGTCGGGCGTGTCCCTCTACGGGGGGGAATATCCAAAAATAGTCAGCGGACGATTTTTGGACTATTTTTGAGCATGGGGGGTATTGTTTAACTATTTGTTATTTTTCGCCCGGAATCGGCCTGTAGGGGGACAGGCCCGACCTTGGCATAAGCTTCAGCAGCTCCGCGCAGAGTTCTTGGGCCCCCCTGGCGGCGCCTCCAGCGCCGCCCCTGGCGCGCTCCGCGCGCCAGGGAGTGGGGCCTCAGCGCTGATCCAGGAAATCCGCGCGGGGCTGCGGCAAATTTGGTTGAGCTCTGCGGTTGCTTGTCTCTCCCACCCCTCTCCCGACGAGGAAGAAGGAGCCCGACTTCCTGGTGAAGCCCGCCGACCAGACGAGGTCCCCCACGCTGCCAACGTACGAGTCCTACGCGGGCTACCCGCCGGCGACCCCCGTGGACCAGACGGTTGCGGAGCCGCCCGACGCCGACGGAGATCCGTACAACCAGCCGGTGTGGGGAGAGAACACGCCGCCTCCGGCGGCTGCCTGAGCCCAGCGGCAGCCCCCCCCCGCGAGCGGAGCAGACCGCCTGCGGGCTTCGCCAGGGACCCGCCCGCGGTCGCCATGCGCTGTCGGCGGCAGGCCCGTGCAAGAAGGCGTTGGCTCGCAGCGGTCGCAGCAGCAACTCCTCAGACCTTCCCCCCCCCATTAGTGTCATTGTCCTTCTCCCCTTTTGCGCGGGAGGAGGAGGAGGAGGAGGAGGAGGAGGAG